TGTGTGTGTGTGTGTGTGTGTGTGTGTGTGTGTGTGTGTGACCGGAAATCCACAGCTCCGGTTCCCGTGGACCTAGAGTGATCAGATTTAGTAGGAGACAGGCGGCAGGATGGGAACACTTATGGTGGGTAGCAGGACCGTCCGTCCAGGCAGATCGGCCCCGCCCACAGGGAGCGGGGTTTGGGTGAAAACTTATAAATCCTGTTCCTATAGACCTATAGCGTTCAAAATAGATAGGAGTACAGGCGGCAGGATGGGAACGCTCATGATGGATGGTAGAACCGGACTCCGCCCACTAGGGGTGGGGTTTGTATGAATGACTTGATTTCGGATCTAGAGCGTTTGAATTTGGTAGGAGTGCAGGCGGCAGGATAGCAACACTCATGGTAGGTCGCAAGACCGGATACCACCCACATGGAGCAGAGTTTGTGCGAAAAATTTAAACTTGGACTAGAGCGCTGATATTCGATAGAAGTACAGGCAGCTATGGGAGCACCTATGTCGGGCGTCAAGACTCAACTCCCCTTACAGGAAGCGAGGGGTGAGCAAAAGAGGCTAACGTAGACTTGAGGCGAAATTTTGAAACCAAGGATGGATATGTTGCAAATAAATAGAGTTACTCGAACACACTGAATTTAGGGAGGTTTCATGGTAGACGGGGCGCGCACGAATTGTGTTGGTTGTTCGTGTTTGGAACTCCAAATCTGAAAAAGTTGCACGCGGGGAGGCCGTTTTAACACGAGAGGGAGGGGAGCCTGGCGTCAGCCGGGCGAGCCGACTGGTGTTCCAGATATCCCAAAGAGCTTGAAATCAAAATCAACTGGAAATAGGGACCCTGGTACTTCTAGAATCTTTTTGCCATGTCCGAAGTGTATGAGCGCCAATGCTGAGCACAGTGAAGGAGATCAAGGAATAACTGCAGACGTTTCTAACTTTGCTTTCAGCTAAGTCTGCTATCTCAACAAACAACTTCCCCTTAGTTGCGTAGGTATTTCTGCTTTGCAGTGAAATAATGTAATATAGTGTCAAATATGCTTTTGCTGAACATATCAAAATTTCGCGCAATTCGGTCCACTAAGAAGAAAGTTATGAACGAAAAAGCGTGAAAGCGTCAGGCCGGATACTTTTGAGCGCTGCTGTACTTCCTTGTCTCCTCGGAATCCACCTCGACTCTCTCCCAGCGTTCCCTTCGCTCACTCTACGATGACTTCCACAGAGTTGCTTCAGGTCTGCTGGATAGGTCCTTCAGGAATTAGGAGAACGGATTTCGAAAGCTTTCTTTTGTTTTCCTCTCGTTCGGCTTGGTGCAGCCTTCACCACCGGAGGCCCACTCCGTTCTGGCCTTTGCTTTCTTGAAAAGCCTCATGGCTATGTCTGCTAGAAGAAACATGTGCCGCGTAGCTAGTTCTCCGCCAGGCAGTACCTTAATATCTTTTACAATTCTGAGGTACAGTCTTTTTACAAGTGCATGATCTACTTCCGTTTCTTTCTAAACACTGCTCTAGGTTAACTTTTAAGTCTTCTTTCTCGCGGAAATGGTGCTACAGAATGCCAAGTCATGGCTAAGTCGACTGAATACCCTCTCATCTTCTTCATTTCTATTCCTATTTCTCTAACTCCTTGCACCCTTTCCGGACCCCTCCTATTACTCCAGACGTGCCCATGAAGATCACCTTCTATGGTGAAAGCCCCTCCGGAACTGCTCGGATAGCTGCGCCAAGGCTTAGGAACACATCCTTTTCGTAGACGGGGGAGCTGGCTTGAAGTACGCACAGTAGTACTCGATATTGTTGTCTAGGGCCCCTCCTTCTTGTCTATACTTACAGCCACGAATCGACTGCTGATCCTGTTGGCGTCGGAGCCAGGCTCTTTGAGGGACCCCGCCCCTGCCATGGCTACATCATTTCCTTTGGTGATGTATTCGTTGAACTAAAGCTTGACACCCTCTCCGATTTCTCTAGCCTTTGCTCCTTTAAGCGGGTCTCCTGAAGGCATATGACTTGGACGGTAATACTCTTCACCGGATCAGCGACCTATCAGGATTTCCCAGTAAGCGAACCCACGTCCAGATCCCAATTCGACAAACAACCGTGTGTATGTGGATAAGTTCCTGCTCACAGGCTTTCCTTTTTCAATATTCGATGGACAGTGTTACGTGTTGCTGTTTCTCCATTTGCTTCAGTCATAGGTTTTACATTAGTTATACTACATCTCAGTTTCCCAAGCGTATCAAGAAATTAGCTATGATGCAGATCTACAAACAAATCTATCCTTCTACGTGCATATAAGACGTATATTTTAGGTTGGAACATAAGTTCGTAGAGTTTTTTCACAAAAGTTTATTTGAAAAAATAGTAATAATTAATATAAAGAATTATTTAACAAATTGTTATAATAATCAGCCAATTCACGAGTTGTTTGGCTACCATCTTCCTCCAATATTGCCTCAGATGCTCTTCGTCGAATTCTGCAGCTCGTCCGCCTCGAGGCGTTCCTTCAAGGTCAAAGTCGACATTTTTAAACTTTGCAAACCATTTTTATGTAGTAGACACCTTCCCCGTACACATCGCATTGTCCGGAGCGGCTTCGGNTGCTGATTTTTTCCTCCTAGATATTCCACTTCTGAGCCAGAAAAAAGACGAACAATTAGATTGTCCAAAAAAACAAATATAACAGTTTTGTAGAGGAGAAAGAGCTCTTTCGAACGAATGTATACACTCTGCTGAAAAATAAAACAACTCTTTGTAAAATATTTCTAACGCAAAACTCTACGAACTTATGTTACAAACCCAAAATGTCCACTCGAGGGCTAATGTTGGTATGTTTCAACTTTCAGAAAAAAAGATATCCAAGCTCTAGAAAAAATGTGGCATTATTTTACTCGCAAGATTTTCTTGCAATGAAAGAAGTTTTTATACCCTGGAATTCCTAAAGTATCAATCAGAAACGAACATTTTGACATCCTCATTCTTGAGTCAAGGCGCAAAGTATTTGACGTTTGCATGGTTTATGAGTTTTATTAATATACAAACTGGTAGTTCTTGTTTCTATCTCTTTTACTTACGGAAGTATAGTCACGTCTACTAGAGGTGGACAAATTGATGGTAAGTTATTCTTGACGTGGTATAGGGTGATGTGAGAGCTAGAAGTTTCGCACATAGAGCCGCCTGCACTACAGCATAAGTACTTGTGAGATACATAAAGATATTGTTAGTCCAAGTACATTGAAGGAGACAAATGTAAGATATTCGATAAAGTATGAAGCGGAAGGCATCCCGTTTTTTTTTTTGAATCTACCAGCGTTCCTTCATTAATTGTTCTCATCATGTTACTTAAAATCGTGATAGTTAATCACAACATTATATTAGTTGTGATTTATTATATTCGCTGTTATATTGTATGGTACTATTCATCTCTCACTGCCGCCAGCAGCGTACACAATAATGATAAAGATAAATTTAAAAAAAAAAACTAGAAAACTGGCGAATCTTCCTTATTAATCTAATGCAACGGCAACAAGAATCGATGGGCCACACGAAGTGGACAAACGACAAATCATTTGTAATGATCAGAACCACAATTAATCATGGTGTGCCCCATGATTGGCTTTTTGGTTCAACGCAATTACAAAGGACTTATGGAGAGCTTTCAGAAACCTCATCAATTTCAGAATGAGGGCGCCAAAAGCTACCGAAGAATTGGAAGTTTATCCATCTGTAAGTGTATTTATATCTGCTCTGATGAACTTGGACCGAACGCGGCGCACTCGGGCGGAGGAGGTTTGAAGTAGCGTTGACAGAGCACTTTCTGCAGTGACCGTTCAGCTTCTTTTTCCCGAACACTGTTGATCAGAATCCAAGGGACCTAAACTGGGTTATTACGTCCTAGATGCACTTTTCTTCATATCACATAAGAGTTAAAATTGGAAAGATTCATGTAATACACAATTCTACAAACTCTAGAAAGATCAAAAAATCATTGTGTTTACTCAAGGTTGGAGAAAGAAAAAAAAAAGAGGAACCGTAGTTTAGCTGTTTTGCGAGCGCTGAAAACCGAACGGAACAATGCTATAAGAGTACATAGCCAAAGCTTCGAAGAAACATTCCACATCCAAAACAAAACACTTACCCACGTCACTTCAGGTGCCCTACTATTTTGAATCCGCCCGTGATGAGACATAAGACTACGGCCCAAATCGGACTGAGCGCACTTTGCTATTCTGGAAAAAACCTCAAGTCAAAAAATAGTTCATGCATTGTGGAATAGACGGTAAAAGTTCGCCATCTTATTTTCCTTTTTTCAATGGAAAGCATTGGGATTCTTAGAAAGAAGGGACTAGGGAATATGTAGATGATCTTACTGGTCGCTTGTGGCGCGAGATTTCAATGCATCATTGCTGATACATGAAGCCACAGAATCGTTGAATGCAGCACCTCCTTGAATGCAACCTACTGGAATAGATGGAGTGAGTCACAGATATATTGGTTTGTGGAAAGCCGCACAATTCAAAGGGTCAACTCACTCAACTCCAGATGATCATCGACATCAGGTAAATACGACATAACACAAGCTTGAAGAGCGTTTTTCTCGCATTCGCGGGGTCCATGCTGACAAAAACACCTGAATTCTACGCTAGATATTTTCAATACGTCCTTCTTTCCACGGTTTATTCCAGTATGCATTGTTACTCGAGATCGAGCAGTCATGACGTAGTGATCATTTTCAAGGGTTACTGCAGCAACTGGACAGCTTCAGGAGACTGATTTAGTTTAATTTCCTTTCTGTTCAGATTCGAAATTAAATCTAAGGATGATAGTGGAGACATTCTGCCAAGTTTTCTACCACTAGTTCACGGATGTCGTTGAACAAATGAGAAAAGCATATTCTTACTATATATATAATCCCCAAGTTTGGTGTGTTGTGTGTATGTATGTATGTTTGTATGTACGTTTGTATGTTCAACGGGAAATTCAATATTACCTCAAAAACCCCTTCAGAGATCGAGACGAGTTCAAAATGGTTGGAGGCCGGGATAAGATCAACGGAGCACATATTACCCTTGCGAACTCCGCCCACATAGAGCGGGGCAAGTGCCGGAATGTGCGGTGCAAATATCCAAATGTCTTATTTTTGCTTAGGTCCAGACACCGGGAGAAATTGATAAAAGTGAGGATAGGGTCAGCAAACCAAGCGGAGAAACTCATCTGCTGTAGGCGGAGCGAAATGCTCTCCTCAAAATTGGGGGTACTTATCAGATGAATTCATAACTCGATATAACAAAGGCGCGGAGGCCAGAAAAGCATTAAGGAGTGGATAAGGACCTAATACGTGCTGGGCGTAACCTTAACGAAGCTCCGCCTATGATAGGCGGGTAATGCTTTCAAATAGAAGATACTTTTTGAAAATGAATATAACGTCGTTTTAATAAATTCTAGAACGCGGGAAAAGCTGGTTGGGAGTCATGGGAGATATGTGGTCAACATAACCATAACCCCCAACCAGCTTTTTCCGCGTTCAGATCTCCAGAGTGGGCGGGGTTTGCACCGAGGCAGGCGGGGCCAAGCAACTCTATTTGAAAAGAATTCAAAGCGAGGGAAAGGAGGGGTTGAAGGTTATACGAGATATGTGGTCATGGTTTTTAAACAAACTAACAAGGGAAGGATACCAGGCCGCAGTAGCCATTCAAAATGAGGTGTACGCCGGCATNTCAAATCTGGGTTTCAAATCTGCGAAACGATGCTGGAAACAAAGTTACGGGCCTACCTTCCCCATGTGTCATGTCACTTTGTTGCCTTTGTACGAGAATCAAGCAGTGCCTAATCGTACGGCGATTGCGCAGTTGGGAGGACGACGGAGTGGTAGACGTGACGCGGAGATTTGAATTCTTGATGTATGTGCTCGTTTTGCTTTTTTATAAAAAGTGTCCTAAACTCTTGCAAAACCCTTTTACACATCATATAGACTACATAAAGCCCTCCATAATTATGGAGCACCAGAGATGCTGAATACAACTATATTTTTTCGTCGGCTCCACAGAACGAATAAGGAGGGGTGCACATAGGTCAGGGCCATACAACCCACATGAGCAGGGAACTTATGCTCAATTGGATATTGATTAATTCATTGTTGTTAAGTTGTTGAAATAAAGCGGGTTTTTCTCAACAAATGTTGTCTGTTTCCAATGTTTTCGAGTTCAAACACTTCAGAATATTGTACATGGTCAGATTGCAAGTCGATAGCGGTCAATATTCACTATACACCCCAATGTATTGAAAATTTGCATGATTAGGTTCAGTAGGAAAGGGGTTGCGACTATAAAAGCATTTGGCCAAAATTTTCCGAGCGCTACTGGAGTGTGATGAAAATGCGTACAATTATGAATATCATTACAGCCGGAATAGCCTTCTTCCCTAATGTTCGTAATACTGCGAATGCATTGAAATCATCACAAATCAGTGGATAGACCTGTAGAAGACGCTCGATTACTCGTTATAGGCACTGAAAAAAAATGAAAAAATGGAAAAAGCGTACCAAAGGTAAGCTCTGCTTAAATAGTTTCATCACCGTTGGAGGCCACGTGCGCTCCGTTTTTATTTACTTCTGCATATTTCTGGTTGATTTCCGTTATGCTCCTTGCCTGACTGTTTATTCTGTTACCAGCCGTGTGCGAGCACCAGGATGGCACGGTGTGTAAAGGAAGCCGAATTTTGCCATCGCATAAGGTATTTCTTTTCAAATTTTCCAGTTTCTTCTTTCTAGGGCGGGCAATCAATCCGCCGTGGTCGATATTATTGACTTATTGACTTCTTGATCTCTACCCCTTTTTGTTCTACGTTGATTCCTTGTGGCCGGAAGCCTCATCACTGAAGCCTTGGTGTTTATTTAGGCAATTGTAAAGGTTATTCGTCTCCAACCACAGCGTTTACGTGATGAACTCTACAACGCTTGTCCCTACTTCTGTTCAGAATTTCCGCCAAGGTCAAGAGTCATTGCCCGACTCTTCGTCTGATATTGGCCGTCAAATCGAACTACTGCTTTCGGATGAATCGACACCTTCTTATTTGAAAACGGTTCTGGCCTGATTATTTAAAGAGCGCACTCAGATGTACTCCATTTCCGTTTTATTCAAAGAATTGGAAGTCAGTCAATTAAGATTAGAAAACGCTGAACTCGAGCACCGACTTTCTGGTTCCCCTTCTGATGTTTCTGTTGTAACTGCTTCGAATCCTCTGAATCTTTCTGAGCCTGCCAGCGCCTTCTCCTGTTTCGGGGGTAATTTCGTATGAACACGTCGTCTGAACTCTTCTAAGCCAGCACCTTCTCCTCTTTGGTGTAAGTTCGCATGAAAGTTTAGCGCCGCCTCTGTGATCATTTCCGGTATTTCTAAAAGTTAGGAGCCAATGTTCTTTCGAGTTATGCATAGTTTTCGGGCTGTAGTGGACATTATGGAATTTTTATCAGTCGTTTGCTATGAAATCTCGGTGTATGGACTGGGTCGGCACAACAACGACATGCTTCTTAAGGTTGCCTTCCCTTCTCCGTATTTCGTTGTGGTTGCGCAAGGCCCCTCGTTTGAAATATGATAGGTGTTCTGAAGTCTCCGCTCCCTTCGAAGGAGGAAAGGGAAAGATTTCGTACCGAGCGAATGGCTCGTCTCAGCAGTCACAATGTTACAACTCAACCCAGTTCTGTTGTCGTGCAGTCACGATCCAGGAACCTCCAGTTTCTGCTTCCTTCCCGCTCAATTCAAACTGAGTAGTCACCTTCGAATGGAGGGACAGAAGCAGCATCAATTATTTTTCCTTTTTACGAATATCAGGACGGTTGTCAAGAAGAAGGAAGCATTTCTTTTCGCAATCCAAAAATTTCATTATGATATCATTGCTATTGTAGAGATGTGGCCCACTCCCACGGGTACTAAATCTATGCTTTTGGGTGATTTGTCGTCACAATACAAAATGCTTCGATGCTTCGCTGTGATCTTACAGGGAGGGAAGGTGGAGGGATCGCTTCCATCATACATAAATCTCTCTGCCCAGTAATAGTTTTTCTTGAATCCGTTCCGCCAGCCTATGAAACCCTTCGCTAAGGATTCCTAGACTGCAATACGCTAGTGCGACTCGTATTAGTTTACAAGGCGCCTACCTGTTCGTTTATCTCATGTACACAAACTCATAAAGGCTATTAGTGACATGACCTCACGTAACCAAGCATGCATTATACGATTTCAATATGCGTGACATCAAGTGGGCCTCGAGCCCCCACCTTAGTGCACGCTCTCCTTCATCCAGGGATTTTTTAGATCTATGCAAATCTTATGGGTTTTCACAGTTTGTTACCACTCATACGCACGCTTCCACTGTACTTGATTGAAATTGTTGATGTGGGCCCATCTATTGACACCACTGATCATTCTACAATCTTTTTTTTCTCAATCTCGCATCATGTAAAGATTACTTAGTGACGAGGAGGATGAATAAAAACAAGAACTATGATGCCGTATGCGCATGCCTAGTAGTATTGATTTGGTTGGTTATTTGTACTCCGCGCCAACCTATGATACGTACGAGCTTTTTCTATTCATTTTGCACCATGTCATCCATTTATTTGTCCCTGTAGCCAGAGCGCCTTTGCAAAAAACGCGCCACTCTCCACACCTTCGTTCTCTTCATGATAGAAATATAGAGCTCGGCAGCGCGCCACTTCTAGCGGACGTCCGAAGACTGGGCCCTTACCGTCAGATTTTTGCTATTTTCGCCTAGAGTCTGCGTAAGGATAATGACTTCATTGAGAAAAGTTATCAATTCTTTGGCTTTTATCAAAAAGCGCACGTAATAGCCCTTTAGCACTTGTTCAACCTGAGTTTTATGCGCGCAGAGGTCCCGAGCGAATGAAGATTCGCGCTCGTCACACCATTACTGAAAAAACAACCATCCTCTTCCCCCGATAACTATAGTCCAATCAGTATTTCGTCCACATTCGCCAGGCTTGTTGAGAAGATTTTGAAGAAAACGATTGTGTCTCACTTCGAGGAACATGCTATTAATTCATCAAGCCAACTTGGTTTTCAGAAGAGTAAATCAACGGTAACTGCATTGTTAGAGACATTACCAATTGCATCAAGGACTTGGATGAGGGGTATCCTACTGTCCTTATTTATCTGGACTTTTGTAAAGCTTACAACAAAGTGCAGCACAGTAAACTTCTTTCTAAGTTTTCTTTCTAAGCTATACGTCCCCGTCATAAATTGCTTCGATCTTTCCACGCTCTGAAGAAGGCGATCAACGCCGAAACGTAAGTCGAAATAAAGGATTTTTATCAACCTCGTCAGACTTCAAGTAAAGAAAACCAACGTTTACACTATACCGAGGTTCAGAGATAGCCGTACATGGCCATCACCGCATTATTTCTTCGATTGCAGCGTTTCTAACCGATCGGCAGTTTACAGGTTGATAAAGGTCAACACTCACACTACACCCCAACACATTGAAATTTCGCATAATCAGATTCATTGGGGAAGGGGTTTCGGCTAAAAAAGCATTTAGCCGAAGACTTTCGAGCGCTACTGGAATGTAATGAAAGTGCTTACAATTATGAATACCATTACGCGCCCAAATGTTCTCTTTCCTAATGTTAGTAATTCCCTGAGGTGTTTCCGCACCTGAAAGTAAAATGTATGGAGACCGCCCATACATGGAAATCATCA